ATTACAATAGGTAGCAAAGTCACAGGCCCTACTAATACTATCGTAGTTTATTGTCTGGTTTTGTAATTGAAGAAAATATAATTTCAGCTAGAGGTTAGTGAGAAGTAAATACAATATTTTCTCACCAAAGTCCATGAACCGCTTCAGTCCTACCCACCGACTTGCTCAAGAGTATGAGTTTCACCATCACTCTCTGCTGTCCCCCAAGACACCATGCCTTCCAGGAGAGCTGGCAGTTTCCGATGAGGCATGAAGATGCCCATAAACAGCTGCTGCACATTTGAGAAGCTTCCCGCACTTTCAACTTTATTGATTTTACTTCTTTCTCTATCTTGTCCCATCATTTGCTCTTTCTGTGTCCTCACATACTCTTCAGTATATTACTCTACTATGAAATATTAAGTGATATTTAAAGAATAGAACCCTTCAGCAAATAATAACAACATGTATCACTGGACCTTTCCCACAAACCACAGGCACAATACTTGCCCTCGAGGTTGTTGCTTGACTATAGAACCAGCCAATTCCCATCTTCACACTGTGCCAAGCATGTGCAGTGTAATTTACACTTGGGTGTGATCTCAGTTGTCCGTGTGTGAGAATACAATATGTAAAATATCATCCTCACAAAGTAAACTCCCCCAAAGAACTTCTATATAGATACAATTTCTAGTTAATAAAAGATCTCCTGAATTCTGTCACCATCCAAATGGAGAGAAGCTTTATTATATTATTATATACAGTTAGACTAGTACTCTGGTTTTACTAGCTAATCCTATTTTTACAATTTAACTTTTCTGAGTTATGGAATTAATTTTGTATATCAAAACCAGAATATTTCTTTAATGAACAGCATAGGATGGGCTACACTAGAGTATATTACATTCAATATGGGTTAGTACTGTTTCACGAAACTTCCATTTTATATGCACTCATACACACAAGTGAATATTGAGTTGTAATGTAAACTGTATTTCTTATTGTGAGTCATGGTTTAAAATGTTTGAAATCCTGGGACCAGAAGATGCTGTAATGGTTACGTCACTGGACTCCCACATAGTTGACCACAGTTGGAGTACCAGACTCGGCAGCTTAAAACCTCAGGCCAAGTTACTGTTCTCCTCTCCTCTTGGTAGAGGAGAATGGAGGAGAAGGGACTGCGCTGTGGCCATCCTGCCTGGGGGGTGATTTCTCACTTTCTGTTTCTCTGTCTCTCTGGTGACTATATGCACCCTAGAGCAAAAATCTCTCTCTAAAAAGCAAGTTTGAAATCCTCATACATTGCTAGGGAGCATGCAGAAACTGTTTAAATGCTATGGAAATAGTTTGATGGTTCTTCAAAGCGACAAACATGCAATTATCACCTGACCGTAAAATTCTACTCCTAGATAAATATACAAAAAAAGTGAAAACAGGAATTCAAAGTACATATACCTATGTTCCTAGCAGAATTATTCACAGGAGCCAAACAGAACGTCCATTAAGGGATAAATAAATAAACAAAATGTGTTAATAAACAAACAGTGGGACATTCAGCCATAAAAAAAAAAAGAATGAAGCTTGAATACATGCAAAGGCATGGATAAACCTCAAAAACATGCTAAATTGAAAAAATTAGACACAAAAAATTCACATAATGTATGATTCTCTTTATAAAAAATATACAGAACAGGTCACTCCTGTTCAGGGAAGGAACACAAGCCGGCTGTTGTCTAGAGCTACAGGAAGGGTAGAAGGGGAGAATCTGCTGAACGGTTAAGGGTAGTTTTATTTGGGAGTGATGGAAATGTTTCAGAACTAGATTCACAGACTTGGGGCGCAACATAGTGAACACATAAAATGTCACTGAATGGTCACTTAAAAACGGTTAATGACAAGTTTTCTCACCTAAACTAATTATGTAGTTTTTAAAAAGTTTGTATGTCCTCACTCTTGAAGGCAGATCTTCCAGGTGATGCTTGCATTGCACCTACTTGTGATGATGCTATGTCTCCACCTAGTGGTGAAGGGGCCTTTTGTCTGGACTCCAGTCCTACAAATGTCTGCTCAGACACACACAGCACCACACCATAGAGGCAGGTTAATATGTGACGTCCACCCAAGGCCCACGTCTCACCTGAGATGTGTATCTCGTGAGTTCTAGATACTTCACAGTGGTAGCCATGAGCTACCTTGCATTTCAGGCAGAGAAGAAGGATGTTTTCTAGTCCTAGCGCTGAAATATTCCCCAAGTCACTGAATCTTTCTCAGGTTGGTTTACCCGTCTACAAAATAAGAACAACACTCCCTACTGCAGAATAACTTTAATTAGGGTTAATATTAGGTAGCACAACAAATACATCTAATATAGGTGATGCTTACGAAGGTTGGTTCCCATCCTCATCCTCCTGAATGCTAAAGATACTTGGTTATGAACTTACGAACTCCAAACAAAATGACTCCTACCTATAAGAGGGCTCTTCCTACTTCACATTGCCATTGGAAGAAAGGAAAAGACAGTGGGTACCCAGAGCAAAGCAGCAGGGATCTGGAGTGATTATGAAAAGGAGAAGAGAGAGTACAGCATCGCACACAGGACAGAAACTCAGCATAATACAAAGTGAAGACATAAGCAGCAGGGCTGCCAGGTGTAGAACAGCAGTGGGAAGGGACGGAAAGAAAAGACCTGCTAGACATTGCAGTTATTGCCACAAATGTTGGCTAAAGTTTCTTGACTGATTGACTGAGAGAAGAGATGCCAAGAAATAAATAAGGCAAAGTATTTGGATATTTTTGCAAGTGAGCTTGCATGAAATATTCCAGCCTCATGTGTTCTATTATAATGGAATGGAAGGCCAGCAGGTGGCATGGAGATTAAGGTGGCTATATCCCACATGGCTATGTGGCTTGTGTCCTGGACCTGGTAGCTTGAAAATCATGCCAGGTGCATGATCTCTCTCTCTTTCTCTCTCTCCCTGGAGAGTATATGCAGCCTATAGCAAAAACTGAAGGAAAGAAAAAAGAAAAAGAGAAATGGAATGGAAAGCTGAGAGATGTAAATGTAGTTACAAGAAACAACCAGAAAAGACACATACAAAATCCTGGGCTTTTCAAATTATGAAGCCAAAGGTAAGTGAGGAAAGAAGGAAGGATCATGAAATTAATTTGTAGGGAGTAAAATTACCAGAGTAGAAAGCTCTTGCTCCTGTACCAAAATACTTGGGATCTGTAGGAAAATCTGTATAGTGGTACAACTTTAGCATTAGAAAAACACAGGCAATTAGATCACCATTCTTATGTACAAGGAGTGCTTAAAATAGTTCATGGGAAACGCACATTATGAAAAAGCTATTCATGGAATTAAAAATATTTTGCACAAAATAACTCATACTTTATTGCCATTTTTCTTCATGAACTTTTTGAAGTCCCAGAGCACAGACAGGGACAATGGAGCAGGTGGTGATCAGAAAAAGGAAACTCTGCAAATATGTCCAGGGCAGCCGCCTCCACACCCCAGGAGCAAGTGAGTATCCCTCACTCTGTAACAGTCATTTCTGCCATTTTCCACTCTGCCTTCCAGCTTTCCTCCACCCATTCCATTCTCTGGGCTGATACTGCCTCCTGAACAGCACCAGTAGGAACACCTTCATTTTTCTGCCACCAAATCTACAAAGCCACCTTTGCCTGTCTCCTGACCCTATCTCCATCTCCTTCCTCCTCCTTCCCAGGGACCATATGCCTATTGGTCTCTTGGCTCTTAATCTTTCCCTTTCTATGAGATCTTCCCCACATTTATAGAAGCATATTCAATACTTCTATTCTTAAAAGTCAATAATAAAACAAAAGCCTCCCTCGTATCCCATATTTCATCCTAATTCTTGCCTTGTCTTCCTCGCTTCCCAATCATCACGTAGTGCCTCAATGCAGCTGTCTTTACATGCTGCCCTCATTTCCTCTTGAAACTCTCTTTTCTTTGCTTCCATAACCTCATGTCCTCCTGACTGTCCAGGTTTGGAATGGCTGGTCCTGCTTCCCTATCCAGTCTCATTTTTCACATTTCCAGTCACCGTGGACTTCTCTAACTCAGGGCCTTCGCAGTGCCATTCCACCTGCCAGGGGCTCTTTACTCTTCTCTTCCCTTGGCTAAATTTTGTTTGTCCTTCTATCAGTCTAGACATTCCTTCCTCAGGGAAACTTTTCCTTGATTCACTAGTCTAAATCTAGAGCCAGTATTAGTTTCTTATTGTTGCATTTATTTGATGGCACTTATCACAATTTGCAGATATTTACTTATTGTATAATTCTTTTCTATTTTTTAAAATAGTCTCAAGTCATTTAAAAAATTGTTATAGGGAGTGTGTACTCACCAGAGAGAGAGAGAGAGAGAGAGACAGTGAGAAATCACACTCTGCTGGGGGTGGGGAGGGAGACATGGACACTCTGAAATTCCTTCTCTCCCATTCTCCTCTCAGGATTTTGGGCATACAAATTTGGTTTGCTTTTTAAGCCACAAAGTATGGGACTCAGCCACCTAGTAGGCCATGTGGGATCCAGCCACCTCAACTATCATGCCATTAGTTGGCCTCTGTATAATTACTTTTCAATCTGCTTTGGACTATCAATTTTATTTGGCAGATCCCATGTTTATTTTACTCCAGTGTCCTAGGACACTGGGTGAACACAGTAAACACAGCAAATAGTAGGCACGCAAATATGAGGGACCTTCAAAAATTTCATGGAAAATGCACATTATGAAAAACTATGCATGAATTTCAAATTTATTTTTGCACCCAAATAAGCTCATACTTTAATTCTACTTATTCACGAACTTCTTGATGTCCTTAAGTACTGAAAGGACAGATATGTGGGTAAGTGAATAAAGGAGCCAATCTCACCCTAGGCTGGGAATCAGAGCTCATCAGGGACTTCACCCTGGCTTCTGTAGGTCTTTAATCTTCTGCAGGCAAACACTGCTCCTATTTTTCAGGCTATGAGATATCCGTTTGAACAAAGTGCCATTTTGTTGAAGAGACGCATGATGGAGAATGAGCTGGCAGCAAAGGGAGGCGAAAAGCCAAGGAAAGTAAGTGGGAGGGAAATAGTCACACATTTCTCAGTGCTTGA